TCTTCAGAACCGAACCGAACAGACCCACGGATAGCCCTATCCACAAGTTATTAAGCCTAATATGGCTATAAGTTGTGGTACTTGGTTACTTTTTCTCTGTGTTCTCCCTGCTTAATCCAGGTAGGGAACTGTTATTTTAATGTCCTTGCATTTCAGTTTAAACTTGCACTTACATGTTTGTTTGTAATTCATCTGTCAGGTCATTGTCAGAGAGATTGTTACCAGAACTGTTGTTGCACAGTTTAGGGCACATAAGAGTCCTATTCAATCACTATGCTTTGATCCTAGTGGCATTCTTTTAGTGACGGCTTCAGTTCATGGTCACAATATCAATGTTTTTCGTATTATGCCTGGACATTCTGGAGCTTCTTCTGGCCCTTCTTATTGCCATATTTATAGGCTTCAACGTGGTTTCACAAATGCTGTAAGAGCTAGATTTGTTGTTTTCATTTATTTGATTTAGTTTTGTTAGTGGAAAAGGAACTGATTCTTCTCTTTGGTAATGCTTTCTCAGGTCATACAGGGTATAAGTTTTAGTGTTGACAGCCAATGGATAATGATTAGTTCATCGAAAGGAACAAGTCATCTCTTTCCTATTTATCCTTCAGGGGGGATAGTATCCACTGATGCTTGTTTTAGTACCAGAAACACTGGATCCAGCTTGATGGCAGATCCCATGGTTTGCGAGCCACCAAGTTCAGGATTGCAGGTGCTAACTCAACAGAGTGTCTGCGTGTCTGGGCCCCCAATTACAGTTAATGCTGTTAGCAGAATAAGGAACGGAAATAGTGGATGGAGAAACACAGTGAGTGATGCTGCTGCAGCTGCAACTGGGTGGACAAGTTCTCTTTCTGGAGTAATTGCTTCTGCTTTCTACAACTGCAAAGCCAATGATTTGTATGCAGATACCAGTTCTCCTAAGAAAAACTATTACCTGATGGTTTTTTCTCCTTCTTGTAACATTGTTCAATATGCACTGCGGCTCTCTCCTGTGGTTGATAGCAAAACATCTTTGCCTGGAGCAAGTCCCACTTGTGAATCAGGCCTCGACTGTGATACAAGATTAGCAGTGGAGCCAATTCAGAAGTGGAATGTTTGTCAAAAACAAAACAGAAAGGAGCGAGAAGATAATATCTATGGTGAAAAAGTAAATTCAGATTGCAGTAAAGTATTTCCCAAAAGAACGAGACACGAAAACAGTGTACGTTCCAATGTTGTGGTTACAACTACAAAAGATAAAATGACCAATGAAAGACATCATATGTATATATCTGAGGTGGAACTCCAGATGCATCAAAGTCGGAATCCATTGTGGTCGAGATCTGAGGTACCTTATCTTCCCCAGAAAATTTGATGGTTTTTGAGTAAATGGTGCTATCTTCGTGAATGACGTCATTTTATTTTATTTTTGTAACATTTATGGGCAGATATATTTTCAGTCAATGCTGACTGATGGCTGTAATATAGACGAGGAAGGTGCTTGTGTTGAAAGAATCCCTGTTCGCACACTTGAAATGAGGTCAAAAAACTTGGTTCCAGTTTTTTATTATCTTCAACCTTCCAAATTTCAACAGGAGAGGTGTGTTGAGATGGTTCTATATACTCTTTTTGTCCGAGGACTGACTTATTTGACTTGTTGCATTTTTTTGCACTGCGTGAATGAGTATGTTGTGCTAGGGATTGCTCTGTGTGTTTCGGCTGCAGAAGATTCATTTACTCAGTGTTAGAGGGTGGAGTTCATGTCTTGTTTATTTGCCAGTAGTCTGTCTCAACTCCTCAGTTACTTTTGGTTGTGTGGTTACATTGATGTTCTTGATCTTAATTTTTGTTTTTGTCTCTCATAATTTTTCCATTTTTGTCTTACTAATGTTCCTTTTCATATAGGATTCCTGTTATAAATAGTGGCAACAATGGCCAAACCCTATATCAGGGGTCTGAGAATGGAGAACCAACCTACAGGATCAGTTCTGGCTCTCTCGACTCAACTAACAACATTGGCATTGTAGTGGCTGAATCAAACAATGACGCTGAAGGAACAGGTCGTGATGGTCTTCAGGTCCCAACCGAAACAAATATGTGCTTTGTATATACTAATGATACCCTCATAGTAAACACTGGGCTGGGGACTGTAAATACTAAAGAAAACTCAACAATGGAAAGTCAGAGATCTGTATAATAGAGATGGCTTGAAAATTATGGAGAACCAAGCAAAAGAAGGCTACGAGTTTGATTAAAGGTATTTTTAGCAGGTCTTGCTCTATTTTTTTGCCAATGCATTATATTAAGTCTTTTGATACTTCCTCTCGTTTTGTATCTGTCCTCTTAATACTATTAGCTAATAGTTGTCCTTGTTATTTGCTTAGAACTTTGTGTAGACTGTTCTCAACTTCAGTTTTTCAGTTATTTTTCATACAGTATGATTTGCCCAGGTTTGAAGGTATATTTTTATTCTCTTGGAAGCTTCCTTGAAGTTTCATAATTGTGGGTGGATTATATAGAGTGAGAAATAGGAGCTTTGGACTGTGATGTCGAAGTTTGAAGACCTTGATGTTAGTTTTTATTTTGTGACTTGGTAAATACAGACAAACTACAGATGCTATAATTAGTTATAATATGTAAATAAAAGCAAACTGTTTGCTGTATTTTTTTTTTTTTTGATAACCGTGGATGTTCGGGCCAGCTTGCGCGCACC